AACAAAATTATATAATGACGAATTTTTTGTAAGCGTCATTTCAAATACGAAGAAAACAACGAATTTGTTTTCGTCGTAGTGAATTTCGTCACAATACGTATTAATTTGACGAATTTAGCTGTACTATATTGCATCGTCACAATAAATAATTATATAATGACGAATTAGTCGCAAGCGTCATTTTAAATAACAGCAACAGTGACGACAGTTTGTTGTCACATTTAATTTCGTCACATTTTATATACATGTGACGAATTTATATGTATAAGTGACGAATTGAGGTGCATTGTGATGAAAAATTCCATTATGTGACGAAAAAAAATTCTAATATGACGAATATAGGAGTCGTCGCCGTATGCACTGGTGTAATGACGATTTATTAAATTCGTCACTATAAGGCAACATACGGTGACGATTTTTTTTTCGTCACACGAATTTTCGTCACTGATTGACAGATTTCTTTTAGTGTATATTCATACTGCGACCATACCATCTGAACATGTATTATTTATGTGCATAGTGGTGAGCACGCTTTTCATCTAGTGCTCATCCCCACCTGCTCTTTACCGATGCAGGTTAAGCAGGAGTTGGGTGAATGAGAAGAGGCGAGTGGGTCCGTCAAATTTTATTTATTGTTTCCGTATGAATAAGGCTTTATGAACCCTTTTGTTGAGACTTGATTATGTTATTTCCCAAAACTTATGACTCGCTTGTTTTGGAAATTTGTGGAACCCGGCTTGTTGGGTATTATAGATTGATTATATAATCATGTTGAGAATTATGTCTCGTGGTATGTTTCGGTTAATGAAAACCGTTTTAGAAAACCGGGTAATGAATCCCCATGAGCCCAGATAAGACTTGGGTTATGAAAAATGTTGTTAAACACCCATTGAGTTTTCGAAAATGATATTGAAAATTTTACACTGATTTTTGGAAAGTCCGGAATTTCTTTAAAATCAAAGTGGGGTGTTACAATCCTACTACCAAAAAATCCTAAATCTACTAGATCTCCTTATTACTTGTCTTGCACCCCAAACAATTCTAGAAGCTTGAGTCTTGCGCATGTCCAAGTCACCGCCTCTACGCGCGCCGCCCTCGGCTTTCCTATTCCTCGGCGCGCGAGGCATCGCGCGCCTTGCCTGCTTCGCACGCGCACGTCCCTGCCTCGCCTAGTCCCGTGCGGACTAGGCTTCGTCCGTCTGCCTCGCATGCACACGCCATTCCTATTCCTTGTAGGACCATGCTTCGAGCCTATATCATCTATTCCTATTCCTACTAGGAATATGCTCCCGGTTACGTTTCCTGATCTTCCGAGGATTACTCCCGTCATCGATCTCCCACGCGCGTTCCGGCACTCAACTGCTTTTCCTATACCTGCGAGGATTAGTATTCGTGCCTTGCCTATTCCTACAAGGATTAGGCTTGTCAGCTCGTTCTTGCACTGTGCCTTGCACGTGTCACCGTGTGTCCCGCGCTCGTCGTCCAGCACTCCTATGCCTACGCGGTCTAGGCCATCGCCCGCGTCACCTCCACTCGCTTGCCTAGCGCACCCCGCCTGCTTTCCATGCGACGCCCAGCGCGTTCCGCCAATGCTCGTGCTCGGATCGCCTACTGCGTACACCCGTGCACCCCACGCCATCCGCGTGTCGCTCCACCCCTCGCACCCACCCTCTCACTTGCTCGTCCTCTCGCGCGCATCAAATCCCGATGCGTGCTGTTGGCTCGTACCTGCCCATCCGCATGTACTCGCGTATCCGTTCATTGACCCATAGAAATCCCCCTCGCACGCTATCCACCCAACAACCTCCCCCTGCGCGCCACTTCGCCTATTCTCCAAGCACCATGTGCGTCTACGCCAATGCGCGTGTGCGCGCCTTTGTCTACTGACTTGTACGTGCCACTTCTCATGTGATCGAGTGCCCCGCATACGAGCTCGTACCCGTCTGTTAGGCCATGCATGCGTCGTTTTGGACCCATTATCAGCCTCATCGGGTCATCTCGACTGTTGGCCCTTTTTGTCGTCGGTGGTCAAAACCCACTCACGCATCAGTTGTCCGTCTCGTACGCGCGCGCCATCGCGCTGATGACGGATCGTGTTGTTATCTATATGTGGGTTGTGAATAAACGTGCACTAGGGCCTTCATTTATCCACGATAGGTGTATCTAACAGACGCACTATCGGCC